CCCCCCCCCACGCGCGGTGGTTTGGCTGCGGTCTCACTCTGACGTTCACGAACAGGTTAGCTCCACCTGCCAGCCGTCCTCACAAGCAAGTCCTCATTCATCTCGCCTTCGATGAAATTTCAACGAAAACTCGAGCAGATATATGTTATTATTGACTCACCGGGTGGTTTGAGAGAGCTCCTCACGGGGCGCCATAACCTCCCGGCGCGCCTCGCAGTCTGGAGGATGAGGATGGGTCCCCGACCGTGATGGTTATCTTGCGCCGGTGCGACGGGCAATGACAGCACAACCTCCACACTTACACCAAATATTTTGGTCGGCAAAGCTCGTACTGATGTCAACAAAGAGGTGCGACGCGAGGCAGAAGTTCAAGGTACCGGTAAACAAAAACATGTGACGCGAAACAAGCGGCGGCCGATACTGTTCTACCGGAAACTAGCGGAGCCCGGTGCGGTACGTCGGGCAGGTTAGGTTACCGGAAACAGCAACGTAGCGCGGCAATTTTCGAATTACTGTACCACCGGTACACCAGTTTGCCGCGACTTCACTGATCAAGTCTCATCTCAAGTTGTGCTGCGGCGGATTATTCCACTCTCATTGTCAGTCCTGCTGTCCAGTTGTCTATAATTTTATTCGTTTCGTTACGTTTCGTTAGGTGTTGGTGTGAGAAATGGGCCTACACATCCTGGCAGTCGGAGGGCGCGAAGGATGTTGGCCGCAACCTCACAAGAGTGCGCGGGGCGCGGGGGGGGGGGGCCCTCCTCGGGGCCGCACAGCTGGGACCGAGGCTGGGTATTATCTGCAGGGTAGCCCAGCCGGGGTGCGCGGGCAGAGAATGGCGAGCGCGCACGCCCCCGGAATACAGAGGGAGATCCCATCTCTGCCGGGCAGCAGCAGCAGCGGTAGCCGTGGCGGGCGGCGGTGTAAACAGAATACCTCCGAGAAACGCCAACAACGGCCGCACGCCTCAGTGGTGGCTACCGACCGAGTGCTACGGCGGGGGTGTAACCGTACAACATGCAACGGTCATTTGTCCTGCGCGGCGGGTCGCGGGGTGTGAGCCTGGCGTGGCGCATGCGAGGCTGCATTGAATCTTTTCGGACCGCGCGATAGCTGCTGCAGCTGCTGCAGCGCGGGGTGCAGCGCGCACACGTGCAAGTGGCAAGGCAGCGCCCGCGAGAGAGAGTGCGGACGTGATCATGTTCGTCAATCGGGCGCACGGTGTAGTTGCTGCTCCGGGCTGTGCTGGGCTAGGCTAGGGTGTGTGTAGGCCGCGGACGTTGTTATGGCCCAGGAGGGGGTTTGCTGCTGCTGCTGCTGCGGGGTGAAATATAAAACTATTCGCACGTTGGCCGGTCCGCGCCCGCACCGGCACGTCCCGCCGCAAACAAGACGATTTGCATGCTCGTGGTTTTCCACCGATAACTTTCCTCCCCCTACCCCCCTCCCCCTCCCCTTCCCGTTCACCACCCACACACCCTCCTGCTGTTTCGTCCTGCCAACAGCAGCGCCACTTATTTTCTTTCTTGTTTGTTCCGAGATTCGTCTCTTCCACACGCCGCGAGAGGAATCCTTCAACCCCTGCTGCTCGCAGCACTCTTTTGAAACTCACTGAAAAATTGATTTTTCCTTTTTTCTCCTTAGGATAGGGAGAGGCGGAGAGCAACGGGAGGGATGGCTCAGCGCCGCGCGACCCTGTGGTTGTTTCAAGTAAACCTCTGGGCTGGTTGACGCCGCGTGTGGGAACATTTGGGGCGACGCACTTGGGTCCCCCGACCCCCGCCGCACTCCCCGCGCCCCCCGCGCCCGTTATACCGGAAGTGCGGCGGGTGGAAAGGGAACGCCCGACGCCCGCCTTAGCGCAAGTGTCAAAACGCGCCGGCCATTTGGACGGTGCCAAAACTTTGGCGCGGAGGAGGGGACCCCGGGACCAGGGCGCCCCACACTCACGCCCACGCCGCCGCCGCCCTCCCCAGCCGGTGTGGAAGGAATATTCTCATAAATCACACGGTTATAATATTTCTGTCTATCGCCCCGTGTGCCATCGTTTTCGCTTTTCAGACCCGGCTCAAGGGAGCGGCAGGTGGGGGAGGATCGGGGGGACGGAAAGAGAGTGTTGGGGGGCAAAGTGACCCAGGGGTGAATAAAGTGTGATGACCCGCCGCCGCTGCTCCACGCGAGGGGGGGCGGGGCTGTTCAGAAACCACGTGACTTTAGAGGGTGGAGATCCAAATACTATGGGGTCCTAAAAGGATCAGGAAGGTCATTGCAGTCCATGGGCACCTCATGATAATTATTGTACCCGTACCCTGGGTACTTTCGGGAAGGGATGCAAATATGGTGATGTCCCGTAAGGTCAAGGTCCCCATCCCTATGATATTTGTACCCCTGGGTACAATTATCATGTGGTCTCCATGGACTCCAATGACCGCCCTGTTCCTTTATTGGGCACCCCATAACAGTTGGACCCCCCCTAAAGTCCACGTGCTTTCCGAACAGCCCTTGCTGACGGACGACGTGCCGCCCAGCCCACGTCGTGTCGCGGCCCGCGGGCACGCCGGTGCACCACACGCGTGGCAATCAACCTGGCCGGCGCAACGCAATGATCATCATACTGCAGCGGGAAATTGATTAATTGCGCCGTGCTGACTACTACTGGCCCCCGCCCACCGCGCTATGGTTTGGAATATCAACTACTTTCAATCAATTAATTGCGTTCGGACGCGCCCGGATGCACTCCGCGCCACGGATATCCCATATCCCCCCCAACGTTCGTAATGGGATGTGTGTGCGGGCCGCATACAATTTTATTTATTTTTCATGAGACAAAATGTGTGGCACAATAATAGGCGCCTGTAATAACATTTCAACGAAGCAAAGGGAGGGGCTCTTTTACCCCCGCTGCTGGCTCCCCTCGCCGAACAACCACATAGCGGCCCCCCGGCAGGCACGGACTGGCCCGGCCGGGAAAGGCGGGAAATCCCGCCGGGGCCCCGCTGGGAAAGGTATACTTGGGGGCCCTTCTGGGCCCCGAAGGGGCCCCTAACCACCCAATCGGGGCCCCTTGGACCTCTGAAATATGTCATTGACTTAAACCGTGACAATCGTAGCATAAACTCTCTTTGTAGTTGTATTAGAAGAGATAAGCAAGAAACAGCTTTAATAATCTATAGGCCCTCAGCCCTGGCCTGGAGGGTAGTAAGTATGAGTGTGAGCTGGTCTGGTGAACACCGTGGACCTAACTGAAATACATAAAGATACGTACTAACGGAGCTTTTGCAAAGGTACGTAGACTGATCGATCAATGTGCAACGCGTTCAAAACAGTCAAAAGCGCACTTTCAGGCTCGCTTTCAGTGCATCTTTTCGGCACCATGCGCAATTCACAAAGCATTTTGGTGCCCTTAGAAACGCACAAAAAAATTCGCGCTCGCTTCGCTCGCAGTCTTTTCATTCTTTCTCTCTATGGGTTCGTGTTCTTACCAGAAGAACCTATCGCTAGATATGGAAAATGATTCCGTTCTGATTACAGAAAAACACTGTGATAAAACACGGGACAAAAATGTGTTCTGGTAATTGCAGGCCGTGAATAAATTGCCCCAAAAAATTTCGCGCTCGCTCCGCTCGCATACATTTGCATTACCTTCTGCTTCTCCCACCCTTTGTCTGGCTACGAAAGACCTACAACTAAGCTAGTGTTGCTGTTGCCGTGTGCTCAGATAAACAAGGAAAGGGCGGAATACGGAAATTTCTCCCTTTTTCGTGAAAAATTGTTGAAAATCGTAGTTACCCCTGTAAGGTAGGCAATTTGGGGGCCCCTTTGTTCGACTTCCCGACGGGGCCCCTGACCCCCCAGTCCGTGCCTGCCCCCCGGCGAGTACTCTGCGGCGCGGGGAGGGGGGAGCGTTGGGGACCGCGTGTTCGTCGCGGGCGGCGCCGCGGCGCAACGAGCTGAAAAATTGGCCATTTCAGCCGAAAGCTTGTGACTTTGCGGTCCCATCTCATGTTTACAAATACATGCGGCCCTTGAGTTGTGGCCGACTGTCGCACTCGGACCGGGGACGCGCGAGAAACAAGATGGGGAACGTGGGAGAGGAGCAGCGGGTGGGGCGAAATATTGATACCCATTAAGTAAGTCCTCAAGCAGCAGCAGCAGCAGCAGCAGCCAGGGCCAGAGGCACAGAGGCCAGACGGGATGAGCCCGAGCTCCCCGCGACGGACAAGAAGAGACCTTTTCCGGTCCATGCCACACGCCATAGCGGCAAAGCTTGTTTGCATCCGAGACGAGGGGCCGAGATTTAGGGGGAAACGTGCTGAGAGAAATGCGTCACGGGGAATCCCATTTTTAGCTCTTCCTTTCGGAAAGCATCTCATAGTGCCTGACCTGAATAAGGGGGAGGGATTTGTCCTAAAATAATACAAAAAGTTAGATTATGGTCAGGGGGAGAGGGAGGGCG